CATTTTTTAATTGGATTGTTTGTCTTTTTGTTATTGAGGTGTTGGAGTGTTCTATAAATTCTAGAGATAAGTCCCTTGTCAGATATGTTATTATAGATCATATGGTATTTCTATTTCCAGCATTTAAGGAAGCACCATACTGTTTTCCACAGTGTTTGCAACATTTTACAGTCCCATCAGCAGTGTATGAGGATTCTAGTCTCTCCACACCTTCTCCAACATTTGTTGTTTTCTGTTTTTAGGAACGTTGTTATTAGAGCTGGGGTGAGATGATATCTCATTTTGATTTGCATCTAATACCTAATGATCGCAAGCATTTATTCATGTGTTTGTTGGCTGCCTGAATGTCTTTGGTGAGATGTCTGTTCACTTCCTCTGCCCATTTTTAAATTGGATTATTTATCGTTTTGTTGTTGAGGTGTTGAAGTTTTCTTTAAATTTTAAAGATTAGTCCCTTGTCTGATGTGTTGTTGCTGAAGTTTTTTCCCCAGTGTGTGTTCTCTTTTTACTCTTTCAGTGGAACCTTTTCATGCACATAAATGTCTAACTTTTAGGTGGTCCTAATTATCTGTTTTGTCTTCTGGTGTTTGTGTATTTTTATTTATGTTCGATAGCATATTTATGTCATGTATTAGAGTCCCTACATTTGTCCCTATTTTTTCTTTGATAGTCTTTATAGTTTTAGGTTTTACATTCAGGTCTTTGATCCAACTTGAATTCATTTTTTTATCAAGTGTATTATTATCATTCCATTTTATCCCACTATTGGTTTACATACTTAATTTATTGGGGTACATGCTCTCTGTACTAGGCATCACTGAGGCCCTGTGGATTGATGTCTGAATAGCATAAAATACGAAATAATCAAGGAATAAATTAACCCATAAAGAACGTAAAACCAGGTTATGTGAGCAAGGTCTGGTGGGATGGGGAGGAGAATGTCCCGTTAGACATTGTCTGAAGTGGTGCCATTTGAGCTGGAACCTAAGTGACAGGAGCTTGCCAAGGAAAGCCCTGCTGGGAGAAGTATAAGTCAATGAATAAAGGGTCACTGGCAGGAGCTGACAGTGTGTGTGGCAAAGAGAGAGTCATGCACCCTGGAGTTATGAGCCAGCAACAAGGATAGGGGATAGGTAGATTCAGGCAGAAGAAATGGGTAGAGATGACAAGGGCCGGACTAGGGATGTCCCAGTGAAGATTGATGAAGCTAACAGTACTTACTGATGGACTGGATGTGGTGAAGAAAAGAAGAATTCTTGGAGGTACTAGGGAGGCACATGCATCCCTCCAGTCTTAGGCCTCAATCCTTCACTCCACTCCCCACCTACTGGCCCATCAAATGGCCACATTCTTCACACACAGCTTACTCTGATCATCAGGCCACCACAGAATCCTTCTCATGCCTATAGATTTGTCCTTACATCTTTTCATCAGAGCTTCCTCCTTCCTTCTCCACCTGCCTGCCCACCTCAGACTCTTCATCCTCATCCTCATCCCATCTTCATCCTCCACTTCATGGCCTCTCTCGCCAATACCTAGTAGTGGTGGGGTCAGTGACAATGATGGGGGTGGCAGGGCATGGCAATGGCTTCTCACTTCTGGCTTCAACTGGGTGTAGCCTGTCTGTGCTATATCCTGTGAGCAGAAACTGGGTACAGCAAGCCATGAATGGAGCAACCTTCTCTGTGACCCTTAAAGAAATGAAGGCCATGAGTAGACATTACCTTGGCCATTTCCTTTGCTAGAAACATAGAGGAAGAACACAAAGGTCAGATATTTGGGGTTTTATAATAAATTTCACACTCTGAACTAGAGTGTTTAATATTTCTGAGAAACAAAAGAAAAAAGCTTCCTTCCCACCTGAGTTTCCAACATGGTATTTTATATTCTTATTCACTTTACCCAGGGGTTCCAGTAAGAATAACTAAACTATGTCATTGAACAGAAAGGCAGTGCTTAGACCCAGAGCAAAGGTTGGTGCTGCTGGGACTCAGCATCTCTTTCTGATTAATAAATCAGTGATACACAGATGTGAGGTCAATTGAGTACAAGCTGTGTGTCTCTTTCTCTGCTGGAGCTGTATGTCCTATCTCCTTGACTAGAGTAGTACCCCAGTAGAAACAGGCAGGGTATTGAGGGACCCAGGTGGTACCAGGAAGGCCTTGGATGGTCAAATTAGGTAGAGAGCATGAGGCCTAAGTGGCCTTGGGGGTCAGGCAGGAGGGACTTGGCCAGGATCTCACCCCTCTAGGATAAAGGGCTGAATCAGCTCTGGGTTCAACAATGACTCCTCAAGAGGCCAGTCAACATGGAAGTCATGGATGTGAGGGGGTCCTGGGTGGGCTTTGGAGGCAGGTCCCCCTGAGCGCTGGGGAATCGGCAGCTCTGAAGGGTGGGCAGGCAGGGGAGCTGTGAAGAAGTACTGGTGCAGAAGGGCCTAAGGAGGCAAGAAAGAAAGAGCAAGAAATGAATCACCTCCTGTCTCAGCTTCAGTTACTCCCTTAAGTAGGGAGACCAGGAGGTCTGTCCTTCAGAGACCCAGCACAACTGACTTAGTTTTTCATCTGCTCATTCATTCAGTTGGTTCAACAAGCATTAATTGAGTGCCTACTGTATAGCAAGCCCTATCCAGTGGCAGGGGATACAGCAGTTAACAAAACAGGCAAAAAGCTCTGCCTTTGTGAAGTTTATAATATAGTTGGGGAGGTGGGATAAAATAAAGAAGTAAAATATATAATAGATCAAATAATGACTAGTGTTGCGGAAAAGACAAAGCAAAAGAAGGAAATGTGCAATATTGGAGAGAGGTTGAAAATCTGAAGAGTGGTGAGGAAGGCCACACTGAAAGGGAACATTTGAGCAAAAACCCCAGGAGTGTGAAAATGAGTCTATGAGGATAGTTGGTGAGACTGTTCTAGGCAGAGGAAATAACAAGTACACAGAGCTGGTGGTGATGGTACAGATGGTGGGGGAGAAAGGCACCCCTGACGTATGTCAGGACCATCAAGCAAGCCCTGTGGCTGCAGAGGAAAAAGCAAAGGAGAAAAAAACAGGCAGGGTCAGAGGGGACTGTGTCAGAATGTATAGTTTCTTGTGGGACACTAAGACTTTGGCCCTCTTCCAGGAAGCGTTTCTTGACTCCCGAAGTCTGTCCCTCTCACCCTCCCTTTCTCTCTCTCTTACCTCCCAAAGCCTTGTGGCCACTCTCTGACCACACTCCTGTGATTGTGTCTAGAGTTTGCCTCACCACAGCCCAGAGGGCCTACAGAGGGAGAGGCCATGTCTACTTATTCACTGGTCTGTGCTCAGGCCCAAAACAATTCCTGGCAAGTGCCAGATACTCAATAAATATTTGTTGAAGAAATGAAGGAAGGAACAAGTCACCAATAGCTCTTAGTCACTGTGCCTTTGCACATGGTCCGAGAGCCTAGGACCCACCATACCAGGGGTGTGCTCTTCTCCGAGATTTCTTCCCCAATGAGTCACTCTGTGCCCCTACATCCCCTCTGTGGAACACTGGGAATGGCTAGAGGGCTTTCTCAAGGGGTGATACATGTGCTGAAAGTCCCCCCATCCCCAGGGGTTCTAGATGCAGTGCAGACATCCGAGATGTTTGAGTTCGGGTCTGAGCCCATCTCATGTTCTGAGGGATATTCACTGTAGGGTCAGATGGCCACCCACTGCAGAGTCTCAGGGCAGTGAAGGTAACTAAAAGAGCAGAGACAATGGACCCCTGCCTACCTGGGAGGCTGTGATGCGCTGGTGAGGAGGGTAGAGGAGGAACTGACCCAACAGGTCTAAGGCTTGGGGAGAGGCATCAGATAGCACTTCTTCCAGGGGTACAGGTTCCTGCTCCTTAAAGGAGATTTTGTTGTAGTCAGGTAGCTCAGTGATCTCCTAGATCAGGTGGAGGGAAGGAGACATCGGAGCTGAGCAACTACCTCACCAGCTCACACTGATGTCAATTCTCCCCATCACTCACTCACTCATTTAGTCACCTCTCTCTCACTCACACCCTCACACATTTGTTCCAAGGTCTCTCACCTGGTCTTCATCATTCACTCACTCACCTACCACTCTCTCTCAAACACATTTGTTCTCTGGTTTCTCACTCCATCTCCATCACTCACTTAGGTATTCATCCACTTACACTCCAGGGACCCACCAAGGCCCACTTGATGAGACACAGTGAGTATCTGTATTGGGCTGGGGTGAATAAAGGGACAGAGAACAAGACCTGCCCTCCCTGCTCTTGTGGTAGGGCCAGGACAATGGTCCCTGCCAGGTCAGAGGGTTTGAGGCCATGAGAGGTAGCAGGGAAGGTTCTGAGAGGGAATAGTCACTTCTTGTTGGGGAAAATGGGGTAAACCTGTCCCAGGCCCTCCCCACATGGGCCCTTTCAAACCGGCCAGACTTGAGGGCTGGGGGTACCCAGGATGCGAAGCACACAACAGAGCTGTTCAATGTCGTTCTCCCCAGGGAAAAGGGGAGATCCATTCAATAGTTCTCCCATGATGCAGCCCACAGCCCTATGAACACAAAACCCCAAATAACTCACAGATCTTACACACAGAACACAGACCTACTCTATCAGCTCAAACACCTCACACCCTTTGTTTAGACCCCTACAAACCAGCAAAGAGACTTAATATCCAAGGATACAGACCCCCCTACCCCCAAACAGGACAAAGACTTCAACTGTAGGACACAGACTAAATCTGCCTCCCACAAACAGCTCTGAGACCTCAACTCTAAACACACAGCAACCTTTCAACAGTTCTAAGACTTTTCAGAACCTCACACTCTGGGACACAGATGCCCTCTCACATTCTGGGACAGACCTCCAAAACAGCTCAAAACTCTCACACCCTTGGGCCCAAACTAGCTCCCCAAAAAGTCTCAGATACTTCACACCCAGAGACACAGATCTCTAATTAGCTAAGTCACGTCCTGGGGTATCACAATTCTCCTCCACCTTTACTTCTGTATATCAGTTTAGACACTCCACACTTTCTTGAGTCTCAGACAACTTTCCCATCCCAGCTAAGAAGCTTCAAATTAGGGACAGCGACTCCAGATCCCACCTCAGAACCTCCACTCAACTCAAAAACAGAACACTGATCCCCAAGCTGCTCAGATATCTTAACCAGGGAAAAGAGCCCCAGACAACCTAGAGTTCCAGCGAAAAGACCACCCAACAGCTGAGAGACCTCTAAGCCTAGGAGACAAAATACGATTCCCTGCCCACCCCTTAGGACTCTCACCATAGGTCAACACCCTGGTCATACTGGCGGGCACCATACAGGAGCTCAGGGGCTCGGTACCATCTGTAAGGAAGAGGGCAATGGGTACTGTCAAGTAACTGGTCTAACAGAAGGCTATGCTGAAGATCATCCAGAGCTCACACACAAACTCCACAAGCAATGTCTGGCAGAAGGTATATTCAGCATCTTTTCTCTGGGAGAGAGGGTTTCCAGCTGTTGCCCAGGAATCGGCCCTTCCTACCTGGTGGCCACTTGGTGGGTATAGAGGCGGCTGCCATTTGGGGAAAAGACCCGGGCCAGGCCAAAGTCCGCTATCTTGAGCTGGCCTGAGGCGCTGATAAGCAAGTTGGCTGGTTTCAGGTCCTGAGGGTATCAAGGGAGATATCATTCCCTCCAGAGCCCTCAGGGGACCTGGATACAGGACAGACTGGAAGTTAGGGTACCAAGATCACATGTGCACAGACTCCTATATGCCTCCCACCTCCACCAGAGCCACACTCCTCATCACTTACTTGCAAGTTCTGTCTAGCCTCTGACCGTGCTTTCTTCATGGCCTAGCCATCCCCTCCCCTCAAAGCTGTCCCCTGTGGGCCCTACCCCTACCCCACTCCCACCCCACCCCAGCCCTGTACTACTGGACTCACCCGATGCACAATGTTGTTGGCATGGCAGAAGGCAACACCCTTGAGCAGCATCTGGAGATAGCTCTTAACCTGTGCCTGAGCCAGTGGCCTCTGGGCATGGCGCACCACTTCGGCCAGATCAGATAGCATGAATTCAAAGGCCAGTACAAAGCCAGCACCATGTGGGAACACAGCCTTCAGCTGCACCACCTGTGGAACCGGTGGGACAGGGCATCCATCAGCCCACCCAGAAATGGGCAGCCCAAGCTAACATGAGTCAAACCCTCTCTGGCAATACCCTGGGACCTCCAGCCCTTGCTGTGATGAAGGACCAGGTAGACAGAGAGGTGAGATGGACCTGAACTCAGAACCCAAGAGCTACAGTGCTTACCTGTGCCCCACTCTCCAGGGAAAAGGAGGTCTAAGAAGGTTTGATCCCCCAACTCAGGACAACAGTCAGAAAATCATCTATATACACATCCCAGCATAGGTTTCCTTTTGCTTTTCCTATTGCCATTAAATTCCAGCACAAACCAAAAACGAGATTCACTGCTATTGTGTCAATTCTGACTTATAGCAACCCCTTTTGGTTTCTGAGGTGGTAAATCTTTACAGAAGTAGAGTCCAGTCTTCCTTCAGTGGAGTGTCTAATGGGTTTCAACCGCCCACCTTCTGCTTAACAATCAAATGCATTAGGCACTACGCCACCAGAGCTCCTTAAATCCCAGGACAAGGAAGGGCAATTTCCCCAGAGTTGGGGACAGCTGAAAATATCACAAATATTCACTGAGAGCCTACCAGTATGAGAAGTGCCAGGGGCTGTGCAAAGCAGAAAGCCAAAGGAACAAGGGCCAGCAGGCTCTTAAGGACCTTACAGCGCTCACTGCACAGGGGAAATAGATAATTGACAGATACACAAACAAATGAACTGGGTATTTTTAGATCCTTATAAATAAAAGAATACTAACAGGAAAGGGTAGTATGATTTTTGAGTAAGTGAAGAATGAAATACTTAAATAGGACAAGGCTAAGGAAGGCCTCTTTGATGAACCAGGTGGTGTAATGCCTAAGGCATTTATTTGACTGCTACCAAGAAGGCTGACAGTTCAAACCCACCAGCCACTCCTTGGAAGGAAGATTGGGCAATCTACTTCTGTAGAGATACCGCCTCGGAAACCCAAGGGGATGCTATGAGTTGAATTGACTTGACAGCGGTGAATGTGGTTTTGAGTTTGGAAAGGAATTCTCAGCAGAGGAATATTAAGGAGGCTGAGGACTCAAGACTGAGGTCATTGTTAAGGGTAAAGAAGTCTATCTATTTTGTTCTGTACTCTCAGCCTGGAGCAGCACTCAAGAAGTTCTGCTGAATGAATGAAAAGGGAGAGGATGCTGGAGGTGGGCAGAAGATGCTGATAATGCTCTATGTGTGAAGACAAGTCACTGGGGCTTTCCAAGAAAAAATTATGTGATAGTTCTGCCTGGAGGGATAGAGTAGAGGCAGGGGAGGAAATGAAGAGGGTGCACAAGTCTACAGCTTGGACCAGGGTCAAATGTGGAAAAGGTATTAAAGAAATAACCTTCAGGATTGCTGATCTAGTGGACATGGACACCATGCCACCATCCTCATTATGGGTGTCTCTTCACCTGTTCTATACGGTTGTCTGGAAGCCCTTTTAGTTTCCTCACATGAGAATGGCCTTATTGCTATTTTTCTGACTTTTCTCATTTTGAAGGTAACACACAATCACTATAACATCAGACCACATAGATACATTCAGATGACACATAAAATTATAAAGAAAACAACAACAACAACAACAAAATCCTACTACCTACAATCAGTCTCACAGTATATTCTCCCAGACTTTGCAACATAGTTGTGGCACACATAGATACACATTCATATGTGTAAGATTTTCATTTAACAAGTTTTATAACATGCTTTTGTCATCCAGCACATCATGGACAACTCCATAAGACAATGAACATAAGTAAAAATATCACAAAGACTCAACTTTGTCACTCTCTCTTACTCCTAACATGAGTAAGCAGAAGCACTAAAAATAGCAGAGGCTAAGGTGGAATATGTCCCTTTTCTTATTCCCCAACTCCTCTGTCACAGAACAAACCATACCAGGTAGGCCCTCTTGCCTCAGTCTGTCTCCCTTATCACACTTAAGTTCTCAGAGGCCAGGCAGGGCTGGTTCCTCTCAGTATCACCAGGCCCTGAATCTATGGTGAGCCCCAGTAAAAAAAAATGTATGGATTCCTCAAACAGACCATGAGTTGTTGACTTAATCTCTTTCCCTCCTCTGTGAAACAGAGATCCTGAAACCTGCCTTGCAGGGTTGTTGTTGTTGTTGTTGTTATGTGCTGTGAAGTCGGACCCGACTCATAGCAACCCCTCTTTGGGTTTCCGAGGCAGTATCACTATGGAAGTAGATTGCCCCATCTTCCTTCCGAGGAGTGGCTGGTGGGTTTGAACCGCCAGCCTTCTGATTAGCAGTCAAGTGGTAGGGTAGTGAAGGAAATTCAATACGATAAGCTGTGCAGAACACTTACACAGGCTGTAGAACATACTGTGAGTTCAATAAATGCAGTTATAATATATATTAACAATCACTAAATGCTTTGAGACTACAAAAGTAAGTTAATGAATAAGTATATAAAGAAATAAGTAGGTAAATGAGAAAATGAATGAAGAATGAAGAAATTAGATGAATGAGGGTGAACAAGTAGACAAAAGAGGGTGTAAATTAGGGGGTTAGGAAGTAAATAACTGAGTAGAGTGGGTTAATGGCAGAAGTGAACCCCTGAAAGTGAGAGCAAGTAGAGGTAGATAAATGAAGGCAGGAGGGAATGGGGAGAAGTCAGTGTGAGTTAAAGAGAATGAGAATGAACTCCCCTCAACTTTATCTCTGACTCACATACTGATTGTCCTCGATCTCCTGCAGAGCCTTGATCTCCCGCAGGGCCTGGTTGGGGATGCCGTCCTCTAGTCGCCTCAGAGCCACCTTCTTGAGGGCAACTATCTCCCCAGTCTGTACAGGAAAGAATGCAGACATTCCTATCCCACCCCCATCTGGGACAGGGAGAAATACATGAGCCATCTGGGTCTCCAGAGCTGCAAGAAGCACACCTTGTGGGAGTGAAAAGGGGCCCACCTGTGCAACTGGGCAGCAAGAAGGGAAATCATCTCTAGGAATTGTATGTGAGCCACCAAACCCACCCCTAAAACATCATCCACAGGTCCTTAATGGAACATGCACAGGATGCCCACTGTCCCTATCCATCATCCATAGCTTGTGAGGAGAGGAGTTGAAAGCAACTTGGCTGTCCACCACTGAAGGCCTGAAGAGGCAAAATGTGGTGGCTACCCACCACGCAAAACTGTGTGGTGTTGGGTACAAATGTTTGTCCAGACACTAGCGTAGATCTTACAAATAAAATACTGAGTGAAAAAAGTAGGAAAATGAACCAGATAGAAACTGAAGGCAGACAGATGAAAAAGGTCCTGCCCACCCATACTTCCTCCCTCCAAAGCTGTTGCAGGTTCCTAGTCTCACCTCGACGTGTTTGGCCTTGAAGACAATTCCATGGGCACCCTCCCCTATGCGACCCAAGATGTAGTACTGGTCCATCGGTGACAGGGCAGCATTTAGTGGATCCAGAGCCCACTCTGTGAGAACCAGACACCTTCACTGCTGTGGGCCAGGGCGGCCCTTCCCACACCTCCCCTTCTCCACGGCCAGGCACCCCTCCTTCCGACCTGGGAACATCCGAGCCCCTCCCCACCTTCTATGGATCTTTCATCTTGGTCACAAATGTCATTTCCTCCCAGACATACACACAACACACCCGCATTTCACCTTTTCAGGATCCCGACTTCGGCCGCACCCCAGCCCCTGCCTGCCACATCGCTAAGGCGTGCCTTGAGTCCCTCAAGGTGCCGGGCTCCTCTAATCCCCAAAATTCCAACAAACCCTTCCGCGCAAACCCTCCAGGGCCTCTCACTTCACCAAAGAGCCGGAACTGTTGCTTGGCAACAAGCGTACTTGGGAACTCCTTGACGGCGAGCCGCAACGGACGTCCATCACGTGACAGCAGGACCGCCTCAAAAGGGCGGAGTCAGGTGGCGTCTTTCGGGTGATTAGAGGGAACAGAGTTTCAAGTTGGGACGTCCATTTCGTGCCTTATCTGCCTCTTTTTTCTACTCCTTCGCCCTTACGGGGCAGCATAAGTCACTCCTACTTTGAAAGCGCCAGCTTAGGAACCCAAGGAGCGAAGGCAGTCCTCCGCTTCTTTCCTCCTCGCACCGTTGTCACGTGAGGAGGATGTTCGGGCGTACGTACTGGGCGCCCCTCACAGGTCTCTCCTTCAGAGCCTCCCTGTCTGAGGGCTCTGCTGTTTAGAGTCCCTTGGGCTCCAAGAGCCCATAAGAGGTAAAGCAGAGGGGAGTGCTCTTTGCCTGTAACTAAAAGTGCAAGCTTCACAAGGCACAGGTACCATTTTCCACCAATGAAGCACAAAAGGAAGGAGGATGGAAGGAACCGCGCTCCGTTAATGTAGGGAACTTAATTTGAGCCTCCCTTTCTGGAAGGTCAATCTGCATGTAGCGACAACTTTTAGAAAGTGCAAACTTTCTGACCCATAAAGCCCTTGTTTTAGGGTTTATGACGAGGGAACGGAGGAATTGTATTCCATTCCTGCGTCCACCACACACAAGTGCATACTGAGAAAACAAGTTGACAGATATTTCACCAAAAGCCTTTCACTATTGATGGAGAATAAAGTAGAGGGTCTCAGACTCTGAGATCTCAAAACTATACAGGTACAGTAGTCAAAACAGCCTGATACTGGCAGGACAGACACATAGAGCAGTGGAACAGAATTGAGAAACCAGAAATAGATCCATCCGCTATGGTCAGCTGGTATTTAACAAAGTGCCAAGATCCATTAAATGGGGAAAAGATAGTTTTTTCAATATATGGTATTAGCAAAACTGGTTATCCATTTGCACTAAAATGAAACAAGATCCATACCTCACACCACTCACAACAACAAACTCCAGATGGGTCAAATAATTAAATGTGAAGCCTAGAACTATAAAGTTCATCAAGGAGCAAATTTAGGGGCCCTAATTTATGGCATAAAGAGACAATCAAGCATAACCCAAAATACACAAACAGTAGAAGATAAGCTAGGTGATTGGCACCTTGTAAAAATTAAATTTTTATGTGCTTCAAAAGACTTTGCCAAAAGAGTAAAAAGAAAACCTACAGATTGGGAAAAAAATACTCACAATCACATATCTGACAAGGGACTTCCTTACCTCTAGAGTTTATAGAAAACTCCACCACCTCTATGTCAAAAAGACAATCTAAATTAAAAAATGGGACGAAGACATGACTTTACCAAGGAAGATATTAAGGCAGCCAACAAACACATGATCATTAGCCATTAGAGAACTGCTGATCAAAATAACAATGAGATACCATCTCACCCCAGCACTAACAGCAAAGTTTAGCAACACAGAAAATAACAAATGCTAGTGAGCATGTGGAGAGATTGGGACCCCCATGCACTGCTGGTGAGACTGTAAAATGCAACAACCACTGTGGAAATTAGGATGGCAATTCCTTAAAAAGTTGAAATTAGAAATGACATTTGATCCAGCAATCTTATGCCAACAGAGCTCCTTGTTACTAGGTATATATCCTAAAGAAGTAAGAACCAGGACAAGAACAGATACATCCACAGCCATGTTCATCACAGCACTATTCATTATAGCAAAGAGATGGGAACAATCGAAGTACCCATCAACAGGAGAATGGATAACCAAACTGTGGTACATACACATCAGGCAATACTATGCAACACTAAAGAGTAATATAGAATCTGCAAAACACATAACATGAATGAACTTGGAGGACATTATGCTGAGTGAAATAAGTCAGTTATAGTAGGTCAAATATTGAATTAGTTCACTATTTTAAAAAGTCAAGGAAAGGCTTATATATGGAAGGAAACTAACTTTGTTGCTTACCAGGGATGGGAGGGGATGAGAGGGAAAATTGGTAGATAGCTAGAGTCAAGCATTGATTTGGGTGAAGGGAAAGGCAATATGCCAAAAGTGAGTGACCAACACAGTAAACTAAAGAAAAGGAAAAAAGAAGGCACAAGAGGTATAGATGACAAAGATAAACTCTTTTGCAAATAGAATATTATGTTATCAGTGATGACACATTAATCTACAGGTAAATACATGGGTAGATAGGCTGAATGATCAGGTATGTCTAGGCAAAAGGGAATATACCCATGACCATATATAAGGTTGGCAGATGATATTTCTATATTCATATTTGTATGTGCTGTAAGAATGTCTATATTATATATATAATATATATATATATGAAATGGGAGCTCTGGTAGAGTAGTGCCTAAGGCATTTGACTGCTAACCAGAAGGCTAGCGGTTCAAACCCACCTGCCACTCCTCAGAAGGAAGATGGGGCAATCTACTTCTGTAGTGATACTGCCTCGGAAACCCAAGGAGTGGTCGCTATGAGTCGGGTCTGACTCAACCGCACATAACAACAACAACAACAATATATGAAATAGCACTAACAAGGGGTAAAGTTATGATAACTTGTTAGCCACAGCAAAGCACCCTGAGGGAGTGAGTAGTTGGACCTGTGGGCTTGGGACCGTGGTCCCAGAGAACACCAAGCTCAACTGGCATAATATACTATGCAGAAAACACTGTTCTACATCCTAGTTTGGTGAGTAGCCATTGGGTTCTTAAAAGTAGCCATCTATACGCAACAAGGGTCTCTCCTTATCCAGAGCAAAGAAGAATGAAGAAAACCAAAGATGCATGGAAACAATTAGTCCAAGGGACTAGCGGACCATGCAAACTTCAGCCTATATGACCATGAGACCTGAAGAACTAGTTGGTGTAAAGCTGAGTTACCAAGACACCAGGACATGGAGTTGTTTTAGAGCAGCAGTTTATTGGCGCTCCTGGGCGAGATTCTCATGCCCTAACAGCAGGGCTAGAGAAGTCGCACCCCCGGGCAGGGGGCATGGATTTTTATAGACACAGAGAGGACCTGTTTGGGGACAGCAGGGGAGTGACAGGGTCCTTTAAGGAAATGGCAGGGTTCAATTAGCTGTTAGCAGGGGTCTGCACTTAATTAGCATGAGGGGGCTTCAGAAGAGGAAGTCTGTCACCGCATGGGACTTTACAGTCTGGGCGGGTTCTGTTACTGCCATTGTCTTATCAGGTTGTCTCATCAGGGCCTGACATCTAGAGGAAGCTGCTAACTGACATTTTGGGGCCTGGGTTTTGCTTCAGTCTAACAGTTGGTGCCTGGCTAACACTGTCAACCCCTCAGAAAGGGACCAGTGTAGGAGATCCTGGATAGAGTGGGAGAACAATGTGGAACAAAACTCAAAATCATTTAAAAAGATCAAGTTTATTGGTCTGATAGAGCATGGTGACATCCCTGAGACTATGGCCTCTAGGTCTAGAATTGAACTCACCCCCATGGCTTCAAGCCAAACAATAGACAGGCATATAGGGTGAACATTTACATTAGGTACATACACTCCTTAGAATGATCAATCATGGGAGACCAGGAGGGCAATATTTGCACAGGGAGATAGCTGAGAGGGAGGTATGCAAAGGAAAGAAGGACACAGGGAAGAGGAAAGTGCAGGGAGGAAGTGGGAAGAGAGCTGTGACATCGTGGGGATTGCAGTCAATGTCATGAAACAAAATGTGTGTGAACTGCTACATGGAAAATAAATTTCCTTGTGAACTTTCACCCAAATCACAATAAAAAATTTAAAAAAGAGATACAAAAGCTTTTGTTAAGAAATTTATTACAAGGCTTATGTGATTGTGGGGGTTGGCTGGGACAGTCTATTTTAACATAAAACAACTTTCCTGCATAAAAACACACTGACCCTTTTCCCCAACTAGGCTTCAAAGTCCTTGAATGATGTTGACTCTTCTTTGATACGCTGCAACTTAAATTTTAAGATATAAAGTTAATTTTTTTTTTTTAAATGTGTCTACCCTCTAGTTTGGGAGCTCTGGTGGTGTAGTGCCTGAGACATTTGACTGCTAATCAGAGGCTGGCAGTTCAAACCCACCAGCCACTCCTTGGAAGGAAGGTTGGGCAGTCTACTTCCATAGTAATACTGCTTCACAAACCCAAGGAGGGGTTGCTATGAGTCGGATTCAACTCAGTGGCAGTGAGTTTGGTTTTGTTGGTACCCTCTAATTAGTGGTTTACCCTTTCTTCCCCACTCACCCCTGGTAAGTATCAAAGACTATTTCTTTTTTTGTAAAACCGTACTCTTGACTTTTTAAAACAGTGGTTTCATACAATATCTTTTTGTGATTGACTAATTTAACTCAGCATAATAGACTCTAAGTTCATCCAAGTTATGTTTCATAGATTCATAGCTGTTCCTTAACGTTAGGTAGTATTCCACTGTATGTATATACTATAGTTGATCCATTCTTCTGTTGATGGACCTTTACATTGTTTACATCTTTTTGATATTGTGAATAGTGCTGCAGTGAACATAGGGGTGCATATATCTGTTCACCTTCCTGCTCTTATTTCTCT